TTATTTATTTATTGTCTCCCCGATTAGTAGGGCACTTGTGCCCGGCTAGAAGAAATAGAGACAGTTATAAAGTTATTATTATTATTATTATAATGATCCTTTGACAGTACCTTGGCGCCTCCCTTGAGTGCTTTGTGTTTGACCAGTGAACCAATCTTTTTCTAAGTTGTTGTTTTCTTCCCACCCCCCCCCCCCTGCCCGCCCTAAGAAATGAACGGTTGCTAAAGACTCATTCCATGGTGACTGTCATTCTTTCTGTCACTGTTTTTTTGTTTGTTGCTCATGAACGTGAATCTTGGTAAGTGTAACTTAGTTATTTGATAAATTTCAGGTATTACGATTATGGTGCCCCACCCATGCCACCATACCAGACTTTTCCAAATGGAACCTTGAAGAAGAGAGAGTTTGCTGGTAATATTGTTATAAGCACAGATACAAAGGATCCACTGCGATTCAAGGAACCCTTGCCTGGCACATGGTACATTGGTGTGCTGGTACCCAAGTCTAATGGTATTAAGAAAAGGAGAGAACTGGTATGTAAATAGTTCATGTATCCCTGTACCATTATGAAAGGTGACCATGCCTGTGCATTGATAATAAAAAAAAAGTTAAAGTACCTATATTTAACGTCGGTAGTTCCTTCAGTTGAAATTCAACTGCTATCAATGGAAGCCACCGGTGCACACTTTACCCCCTTTCTCCATCAGTGCTCTGTTTTAAGAGTATTTAAACCTGAAGCTACACAAAATAAATTAACTTTATTTATAGACGACACTAGACAGTACTTGATGACTGATAGATTCATGGTCTTCTTCTAATGCCTCTACATGTAGGCTTTAAAGTGCATATGATAGGAAAACATTTTAATATTAAAAATGTGTAGTTTATTGGCATTTTATTGGCATTTTATTGGCATTTTATTGGCATTTTATTGGCATTAATGAGAATATCATGGTTAAATTTGCTTCTAAGAGATATTTCTCTAGAAAGTCAAGAAAATCTAGCACAAGTTGTGACGTCATTTTGTTTACAAGTCTCCAGATTTAGTGAATTGCAAATACGCAAAATATGTTTGAAGTAATATTTCAAAGCCAACAATGAGGACTGGACGGGATTTCAAGTCTAAGCAATTAGTTCCAATTAGCAATTAGCAATTAGACTGGAACTAACTGTGTGGACTTGAATTCTCGTCCAGTCCGATATTGGAGGCTTTGAAATGACTTCTCATCTCATTAATTATTCGACTTAGAGTAACTGGAGCCAAATTAATTCAGTCCTAGGACTGAATTAATTTTGTTCCAGTTACTCCAGACTGAATGCATTCCTTTCACAGCACTTTACCAGATTTCAAGTAA